CTTCTCTTGTTGCAGAGCACAGGCTCTAGGTGCGCAGGCTTCAGTAGTTGTGTCACGTGGGCTCAGTAGTTGTGGCTCACGAACTTAGTAGTTGTGGTGCACAGGCTCAGTAGTTGTGGCGCACGGGCTTAGTTGCTCTGCAGCATGTGGGATCTTCCTGGACCAGGGCTTGAACCTGTGTCCCCTGAATTGGCAGGTGGATTCTTAACCACTGCACCACCAGGGAAGCCCTGTTTCTGTTCTTTATGTAAGTTCATTTGTATCATTTTTGTTTACATTGCACATATAAGCAATATCATATGGTGTTTGTCTTGCTTCACTTCATATGATAATCTCTAGGTCCATCTATGTTGCTGCAAATGGCATTATTTCATTCTTTTTTATGGCTGAGTAATATTCCATTGTATATATGTATCACATCTTTATCCATTTATCTGTTGATGGACATTTAGGTTGCTTCCATGTCTTGGCTATGGTAAGTAGTACTTTAATGAACACTAGGGTTCATGTATCTTTCGAATTAGTTTTGTCCCTATATATGCCCAGGAGTGGTATTGCAGAATCATATGGTAGTTCTATTTTTGGTTTTTTAAAGAACCTCCAGTCTCTTCAGTAAGTGGTGCTGGGAAAACTGGACAGCTACATGTAAAAGAATGAAATTAGAACACTCTCTAACACCACACACAAAAATAAACTCAAAATGGATTAAAGACCTAAATGTAAGACCGGATGCTATAAAACTCCTAGAGGAAAACACAGGCAGAGGGACTTCCCTGGTGGCACAGCGGTTAAGAATCTGCCTGCCAATGCAGGGGACACAGGTTTGATCTTTCCAGGTCTGGGAAGATCCCACATGCCGTGGAGCAACTAAACCCGTGTGCCACAACTACCGAGCCTGCGCTCTAGGGCCTGTAAGGTACAACTACTGAGCCTGCATGCCACAACTACTGAAGTCTGCACGCTCTAGGGCCTGCGTGCTGCAACTACTGAAACCCGTGTGCCTAGAGCCCATGTTCTGCAACAAGAGAAGCCACTACGATGAGATGTCCGTGCACCACAAGGAAGAGTAGCGCCCACCTGCCACAACTAGAGAAAGCCCACGTGCAGCAACAAAAACCCAATGCAGCCAAAAAATAAAATAAAACAAAACAAAACAAAACAAAAGCCCAAAACATAGGCAGAACACTTTTTGACATAAATTGCAATATCTTTTTGGATTTGTCTCCTAGAGTAATGGAGATAAAAACAAAAAGAAACAAATGGGATCTAATTAAATCAAAGTATATGCACAGCAAAGGAAACCATAAACAAAATGAAAAAACAACCTACAGATTGGGAGAAAATATTTGCAAATTATGTGACTGACAAGGGATTAATCTCTAAAATATACAAATAGCTCATACAGCTCAATATAAAAAAACCAAATAACCCAATCAAAAAATGGGCAGAAAACCTAAATAGATATTTCTGTAAAGAAGACATACAGATAGCCAGAAGGCACATGAAAAGATGTTTGACATTGCTAATTATTAGAGAAATGCAAATCAAAACTGCGAGGTATCACCTCGCACTGGTTAGAATGGCCATCGTCCAAAAGTCTACAAACGTTAAACGCTGGAGAGGGTGTGGAGAAGAATGGACCCTCCTGCACTGTTGGTGGGAATATAAATTGGTGCAGCCACATGGAGAACAGTATGGAAGTTCCTTACATTCTCTTATTTTAAACATTTTGTATTTAGAAGATTCATGGTTGGTGGCTTTTTAAAAATAAACTTTATATATGTTTTTTAATATTCATTCATTTGGCTGTGCTTCATCTTAGTTGTGGCACATGGGATCTTCGTTGTGGCATTCGGGATCTTTTTAGTTGTGGCATGTGGGATCTTTAGTTGCGTCATGTGGGCTCTTAGTTGCAGCATGCGGGATCTAGTTCCCTGACCAGGGATAGAACCAGGGCCCCCTGCGTTGGGAGCTCGGAGTCTTAACCACTGGACCACCAGGGAAGTCCCTAAAAATAAACTTTTTAAATTCTAAAAATTACATGTGTTCTTTGTATAAGATTTGGAAAAGGTGAGGAATAGTGATAAAAAAAAAGTAGCCATACGCAATTTGTCAGGGAAACTATTGTTAGCAATTTGGTATACTTTTTTTTACTCCTTCACCTCCCCCTCAGCCCCCAGATAGTATTGTGTGATACATAAAGTTTTAGATTTTGCATAGTGTTTCCCCATTTTCACAGACTCTTTGTAAGCATTTTTAATGGATATATAACCCATCATGTGGATGCACTATATATAATCACACATTTTATAAACTTTTCTCCTTCTTGCTTTTCCAAATTTTGTTAAATAATGCACTTTTGGGAGGAAATTTTTTTCTTTATTCTAGTTGTCAGTTAAAGAATTCTAATTACAGCAGGTAAGACTACTGCTTATTTTTCATAATTTATCAGTTCACTGATTCATTTAATAAACATTTTGAGAAACAATTGTGTGCCAGGCAGAACCTAAGGACATTTGAAAAGTTTACTGTCTGGTGTAAGGCAGGTAAGAAGCAAGTTATTACAATACAGTGTGATGAGTGCTGTGATAGAGGAAGACATAGGCTCCTAAGGAGCTAAGAAGAGGGGCTTCTGTCTTAGTTTGAGGTTGGGAGGAGGGTAAAAATTTTACTAATCTTACCAGAGGAGGAGAAACTTAAGCTGGGTCTTAGGGACTCATGATAATAAGACAGTCAAAAAGTGAGGGTGAGCAGGAAGGCGTTGTAGGTGGAGGGAAGAGCACATGCAAAGGCATGGAGGTATTAGCATGTCAAGTTTAGGAAGCTTTAATATTAATATTAAAAATGGCTTCAGTATATAGTGCATGTGAGGGAGTGGCAAGAGAGAAAGCTGAGTAAGTGGGCAGATGTGATTTCATGAAGGGCTTTGAATATCATCCTCAAGGCTGGGGTGCCATCATGGATGAGGCAGAATCCTTGAGAAACATGTTTATAGCTCTAACTCTTCATTTGTATATCAACAATTCTCAGATTAATAGCTCTCACCCAAACCTCACCTTTGAGCTCCAGAGCTATATATCCAACTGCCTTGTTGGCCTCTCTAGAATGTCTAGAATCTAAGCATCATGAAAGCAAGTATTTTACTCCCTTTGCCCTAAGCTATATCTGCACTACCTAGAACAGTGCCTGGCAATAATTTATCGAGTGATTAAATAAAAATGAGTGATTCCCTACTGTATCTCAGAGCCATCTCAAACTCCACATAAATCCAATTCATGATCTTCTCCCTCTAACCTGCCCTTCTCCTAATGTTCCCTATTTTTTAAAATAATTTTTTAAAAAATTTTATTTAGTTTTGGCTGTGTTGGGTCTTCTTTGCTGCACACGGGCTTTCTCTAGTTGTGGTGAGTGGGGGCTATTGTTCGTTGCAGTGTGCAGGCTTCTCATTGCCATGGCTTCTCTTGTTGTGGAGCACAGGCTCTAGGTGCGTGGGCTTCAGTAGTTGTGGCACATGGGCTCAGTAGTTGTGGCTTCTGGGCTCTAGAGTGCAGGCTCAGTAGTTGTGGCGCATGGGCTTAGTTGCTCCGCGGCATGTGGGATCTTCCTGGACCAGGGATTGAACCGTGTCCCCGGCTTTGGCAGGCGGATTCTTAACCACTGAGCCACCAGGGAAGTCCCCCTAATTTAATGTTCCCTATTTAAGTGATTGGCACCAACTATTTAATTTCACAAGCCAGAAACCTGGGTGTATCTTTGACATATTCCTCTTTCTCACCTTTCACATCCATTTTCTCGCCGAGATCTAATGATTTCTTGACGTTTCTTCATATGTCCATTTCTCTCCATCTCCACTGCTCTAGTCCAAGCTACCATCTCTCTCCTCATCCTATACAATAGTAGTAAACTTTCACCCTTTACTCTTGTCCCTTTTCAATCTGTTCTCTGTGTTGGAGTCAAAAAAACCAAACAAACCCACAGAATCTGATTCTGATATTCCTGTTTGCAACCAGTTGCTCTTTGTATAAAGAACAAAACCCTTAACATGGTCTACAAGGCCCTGTGTGCTCTGGCCACTGTCTAACCCAATAGCCACATCTCATGCCACTTTTTTGGATTCTGTTCTTAGTTGCATTGGCTTTTTAAATTCTTCCAGTGGACCATGCTTTCATCTGTCACAGTTATAATGTATAATTAGCAGCTTCTAATACATATTATAAAATGGAATGCCTATTGTCAGAGAAACAAATGTATCAATACCTTTGAGTTGATATTTATAACCCTGAAAGGGTAATGTTCTGTGTAGCATTCTTTTCTTGAAAAGAAAACTGTCTGTGAATTATTTCAAATAAGCTCAAACATTTTCAGTTATAATTTGTTCGTCTTTCAGATTACATATCACGTATCTCAATTTTCCCTCAAGTAAGTTAAATACTTATAAGCTACATTTATTCTTATTTTAAAGTAAGAAAACATTGTCTTGTAAATTTAAGCCATTTGATTTTTTAAAAAGTGCTGCAGTAGGAAGCAAGGATGTATTGGAAATATAGGAAATGCCTTAATTAAAAAAAAAAACTAGGTTTTATATGAAAGTAGTGACTTAATCAATATAAGTGGAAGCCTCCATTCTGAAGATAGTTGCCGCTTCTTATATAATTTCAAATCACACTCTCTGATTACAAATGAAACAAGTCTTGAATAGTCTCACCAAAACTGACTTGTGTTACTAAGTTATTGTTCTTAATTGTGAGTGTCTGGGGGAGTTTATTGTTTGGTTTTGTGTGATAATTTTTATTGTTGTATATAAAATATACAACAATAAAATATATTTTGTAATTAAAATATTTATAGAGTATATTGTATTCTATTCTGTAAAATGAAAAATTGGTTTGCTCATTTCCAATTCAAGTTGTATTTAATCACTTAAGTAACTTTAGCAGATAGTGCACCATATAATACATACTCATTACTTATTTTTCTTTAACTTCTTTTCTTTATGTCAGAACAAAAGTCTAAACTTACAGAAGAATGCAATCAAGTGATGGCTTTTTCTTTAGAATCTGAATATGGAGGCCACAGGAACAGATGAAGTTGACAAGCTGAAGACTAAATTTATATCTGCTTGGAACAACATGAAATATAGTAAGTATCAAGATTTGAAAACTGTATAAATCCAAAGAAATATTTGAAGACATGTATTATCTCCTGTATTAAGTCACTGACAATTGTTGAGATTCTCTTTGAATGAAATATTTCTGTAAGGAATGTAGATAAGAATACTACCTGAAGAAAGAGCCAAATACCATCATAAACATTACTTAGAAACTCAGGCATATCATGTGGTCCTTTAAAAAAGAAAATTCCAAAGAAGATAGAATTTATTCAGGTGATGATAATACCTCAGGTTTTCAGACTCAGCATCAGGCAACTCATGTATGAACCATGAAGCAAGCAAAATAGACCTCTGAACACACAAAGCAGACCATTTAAAGTTCACATGCTGATGCGTATGACTTTCTTCTAGGACACACTCAGATCCTTATTTCTATAACTTAGTTACTCTTGATTTGCATACAAATCCAATAAGGATCATATGGTGGTTTTGAAGCCCACTTAAGACTAGAAACAAATTGGAGATGAAAAATCCTTCAAAGATGGAGAAATACTCAGCAGAACCAGTTTCAACCGGAAGAAGTTCATATCCATAAGATAGGAATGATAAAATTTAGTAAAACCCCTTAACAGTGCGAATTCAAGTAAAACACAATTGGCTGTTGGTTCCTGGTTCACTGGAAGTCATGGCCAGCTAGCTATTTAGGCAGTTAAAACTTGATAATAACTTGACATTGTATTTTGAAGATTATAGACATTAATTTTTTGAAAAATTGAGATTTAAATCATATACTACTAAAATTCACCTTTTTAAAGTGTATGATTCAGTGGTTTTTAGTACACTCACAGGAATGTACAACCATCATCACTATCTAATTCCAGAACATTTTCATCATCCCCAAAGGCTACCTTGTACCCATTAGCAACTACTCCCTATTCCTCCCCACCTCTCTCCAATCCCTGGCATCCACCAGTCTACTTTTTGCCTCTCTGGATTTGCCTATTCTGGACATTTCATATAAATGGTATCATATAACTTGTGGCCTTTTGTTTTTGACTCCTTTCACTTGACATAACGTTTTGAAAGTTAATTCATGTTGTAGCATGTATATATCAGTACTTCATTCTCTTATACGGCTGAATAATATTTCATTGTATGGATATATCACATTTTCTTTACCCACTCATTAGTTGATAGATGTTTGGGTGGTTTCCACTTTTTGGCTATATGAATAATGCTGCTATTAATATTGTATACAAGCTTTTGTGTAAACATATGTTTTCAGTTCTCTTGAGTATATACCTAGGAGTAGAATTGCTGGATCATATGTTTACCCTAAGTTTAACTTTTTAAGGAACTACCAAACTGTTTTCCAAACTGTTTGCACCATTATACATTCCTACCAGAAATGTTTGAGGGTTTGAATTTCTCCACATCGTCAGCAATACTTGTTAATATCTATCTTTTTAATTAGACCCATTCTAGGGAGTGTGAAGTATCTCACTGTGAGTTTGATTTGCATTTCCCTGATGAACATATGAAGTTAATCTTCTTTTTATGTATTTATTAGCAATTTGTATATATTCTTTCAAGAAATGTCCATTCAAATCTTTTGCATGTTTTAAAATTGGGTTGTCTTTTTATTATCGAGTTGTAAGAGTTCTTTATATATTCTAGATAAAAATCCCTCAGCAGATATATGATTTGCAAATATTTTCTCCCATTCTTGGATTGTCTTTTCACTTTCTTCATAGTGTCCGTTGAAGCAAAACTTTTACTTTTTGATGAGGTCCAGTTTACCTATTTTTTTTCCCTTTGTTGCTTGTGCTTTTGATGTTGTATTTACGAAACTGTTGCTTAAATCAAGGTCATGAAGATTTGCACCTATTCTTTAAAGAGTTTTTATCTTTTTAGCTCTTATATTTAGGTCTTTGATCCATTTCAGGTTAATTTTTGCATATGATGTGAGGTAGAGGTTCCACGTTATTCTTTGTATGTGGCTATCTGGTCTCAGCACCATTTGTTTAAAAGAATATTCTTTCTCCATTGACTGGTCTTGCCACAGTTATCTAAAATCAGTTGACCATAGATGTAAGGGTTGATTTCTGGACTCTCAGTTCTATTCCATTAATCTGTATGTTTGTTCTTATGCTAGTAGAACATTCTCTTGATTACTTTAGCTGTTTGTAAAATTTGAAATTGGAAAGTATGATTCCTCCAACTTTGTTCTTCTTTTCCAAGATTGTTTGACTGTTCTGGATTCCATGCATTTTCCGTATGAATTTTTGATCCTCTTATCAATTTCTGCAAGAAATCCAGCTGGGATTTTTATATAGATTTTAGTGAAATCTGTAGATCAATTTTCAGAGTATTGGCATATTAACAGAGTATTGCCATATTAAGTCTTCCAATCCATGGACATGGGATGTCTTTCCATTTATTTAGGTCTTTAATTTCTTTCGTTGATGTTTTGTAGTTTTCTGTGTGCAAGTCTTGGCACTTCTTTTGTTAAAGTTATTCCTAAGTAGTTTATTCTTTTCAATGCTATTTTAAAATGAATTTTCTTCATTTCATTTAGACTCTTCATTGCTAGTATATAGAAATACAATTGATTTTTGTGATTTGATCTTGTATCTTGTAAACTTGATAATCTCTTTTATTCTAATAATTTTTTTGGATTCTTTAGGATTTTCTGTGTGTAAATCATGTCATCTGCAAACAGAGGCTTATGTTCTTTTTCAACCATTTAATCTGATGGATAGGTTATGTGGTGAAGATTTCATTTATAAGGTCTGAACATTGTCATACAGGTACTCAACACATTTCAGTAGTGACCTAGGAATTGTTATTTAACCTATTATTTACATATGTGTAGCTTTCCCTATCTAGATATTTAAGTGGACATCATAAGATTATGGTAATCCCTAATCTCTGAAGAACAGATTGTTCAGGGTAACTACATGTTCTAAATAGTTTTAAGTTATAGAGTAGTATTTTAGTTTTATTTTTATTGGTGAAAATTATTCTAAAATGTTGAATGTATTTTCATTGTTTAGAGTTTGTGTAGTATGGATGGTTTAAGAAGGATTAAAATCGATTGAGCACCCACTAGTATGTTGTAGTTTATGTACCTTCTCATTTAAATTTCATCTTTCTGAGTTAGATATCTTTCTGAGATTTAAATCTAATATGTTTCTAAGGTATTCTTTTTTTGCAAATTAGAAAACTGAGATTAGGTGACATATTCAAGGTCATATATCTAGGTAAATCTTGAAACTTGTATTCAAACCCAGCCTCCCTTGCTCCCTATTCTTGCTGTTCTCTGAATACACTGAACATAATTTAAGAATACTTTTTATCAATGTCAATATTATTATATAAAGATGGAACTAGAAATGGCATAGCACTTAACAAAACTGGACCTTACTTTCTTTTCAAAAATGTTTCATTTTTGCTTCCCCCCCCCACATTTACATGACTTTATGAGGTATGTAAACTTGATTTCCTTTTTAAAATATTAAGAAGTAAATCATCCTACTGGGTGTTTCTGTTCCTCCAGAAAATCATTAGTATCTCTACTATTTCTATGCTCTTTGGCTTGTTTGCATCTTTTAAAGCCTGACTTGTGATTTTCAGATTGCTAACTTAATGGACTATCGGTTTTTTGGTAACATTTTGTTTATGGTAGCTAGGCTCCAAAGACGGTCCTCAGTGAATCACATCTTGTGTTGTCTCTTTTCTCATATGAATCTGGGCTGGCTTGTGTCTCTCTCAGCCAATAGAATGAGTTAGAAATGAAGCTATGTCAATTCCAGGCCTAGCCATTAAGAGACAACTTCTGCCTGCTGTGTGCACTATAACTCATTGCTTGTGTAAAATGTAGATCGTTGTAGAGCCTCAGGCTCTGACTTGTCAGATTCACCTTTCTTTTCTTTCAGAAGGACTGGTGACTGGTAAGAGGGTATACAGGTAGAGGGTAAAGCATAGGGAGAAAGAGAGAAGCTCCTCCTTAAAGGTTTTTTGTTTGTTAGTTTTTGAGGTTGTTTTTATGAAGTTCTTAGGATTTGCTTTGGAAATACTGCCTTTTGGGGAGAGGGGATTGTTATCGTTTCGGGGATTAGAATCATTCTCGTATGGTACTAATAATACTCCTATGGTACTAATAATACTCCTATGAAACAATGTCTATAAAGCACCTAGCTTAGTTCCTAGTGTAAAATAGATGGTCAGTAAATACTATTTTCCCATTGGAGTTCAGAGAAGAGAATGAGAGATAGGTGGGAAAAGGAAAAGATGTCTTAGAAGTGTGTGTTTGAGTCAGAAGAAGATTTAAGTGGATTTAAATGGGCTGATATTGGGGAGGATATTTTTGTTATGGAATAGTATGAACCAAATAGTAAAGCCCACTTTGAGTATAGATGAGAAGTAGTGGAAAAGATGGCTGTAAAGGTAATTTGTATCATATTGTGGAAAGTCTTTAGTATCACAGAGAAGTTCATTATAAATCTGTTAGGTAATGAATCATTGAGGATGGTTTTTGAGCAGACAAGTTACCTAATCAAAGCTGAGCCACAGGGAGATTAATTTGGCAGGGATATGTGGCATATGCTAGAGTGGGGAAAAACTGATTACAGATAAGCCATTTTGGGGGAGTATTGCAGTAATCCAAAGCCTGATTACTGTATTTGACTTTCCATTCTTTCTTTTTTTTTTGGCTGTGTTGGGTCTTCATTGTGGTGCTTGGGCTTCTCACTTGCAGTGGCTTCTCTTGGTGCGGAGCACGGGCTCTAGGCTTCAGTAGTTGCAGCATGCAGGCTCAGTAGTTGTGTCACGCGAGCCCTAGAGCATGCGGGCTTCAGTAGTTGTGGCATGTGGGCTCAGTAGTTGCAGTGCGCAGGCTCCAGGGTGCGCGGGCTTCAGTAGTTGTGGCACGCGGGCTCAGTTTTGTGGCTCGCGGGCTCTGGAGCACAGGCTCAGTAGTTGTGGTGCACATGCTTACTTGCTCCACAGCATGTGGGATCTTCCTGGACCAGGGATCAAACTTGTGTCCCCTGCATTGGCAGGCAGATTCTTAACCACTGCAGTACCGGGGAAGTCCCTCCATTCTTTATTTTTCACTACCAAACTCAGATACTTGCATGATTTTTATTATAAATACGTATTTTAATTTACTTGTTCTTTATGCTTATTTGTATTATAGTACTTAAGGGAGCACTTTCATAAAAATCACTCATTTAAAATTTTGTAACAACTCTGTTAAATACAAATGTTGGCCTGCTTAAGACTAGACCTAAGTCTCTTAACTCCCAATTTCAGATTCTTTTTATTTATATGTTCTTGCATTTTAGGAGCTGCTTTTAAGTCTGCCATTAGCACTCAGAAATTTCATACACTTAGGAATATTCAGGAATGTAATGGACAAGTGCTTTTCTTAGGAAATTGAGAACTATTAATGGCATCATAAAAAACCAAAAGGATAGTTCCTTTTAGATATAGACAGTTTAGTAGGAAGAAAATTGGAAGAATTAGAGTTTGCAACTAAGAGTTGAGGATTGGGGATTGGAAGGTGGAAAATTGAGATGAAAATGTCTGAAAGCTTTATACATCACTTTCAGAAATCCTCATTTGGCTGAAATGATGGGGTAAAAACAGATTTCCCTAGGAAACTTCAGAGATCCACTTTTATCATAAGCATTAGTGTACTGTGTGATCTTTTCCCTAAATTACTTCACTGGAATATTCAAATACTTTAAACCTTTAAAATATCTAAAATGGAAGAAGATATAAGAAATTGGTAACATTTGTTGCCTTTGGGAAAAGAGGTTGGTGTCAGGGAAACTGGAGTAGAATTTGTACCTTTTAATTTTTATACCATAAGAACATTGTGATCTGTTTGAAAATAAATTAAAACTAAAATTTTTTCTCTGCCATGTTCTTTAAGTGGGCAGAATGTGGTTAAAATACTTTGCTTTATTTGAAAGTAGCATAAGTGGCCTGTATTTTCAGTTCATTGTCAAAATACTTTTGCTACACTTGTAAAAAATGCACATCCATAATTGAGAATTGGTGATTTGAAATTAAATAAAAGAAAATGCTGCTGAACTTTTAGTCTGAAATCCTTTAATTGCAAAACTGTTTTTCTCTTTTTCTCATTTAGGTTGGGTGTTGAAAACAAAGACATATTTTAGTAGAAATTCCCCTGTATTATTGCTTGGAAAGTGTTACCATTTTAAATATGAAGGTAAGTGCTAAATTTGTAATCCATTTAAAAATCTTTGTAGAAATTCATTGTGTAATTGTTTTCATTATTTTATTTCCAGATTAACCTACTTTTGACATATTTCTTTTTGTTTTTTACTTCCAGTTATTTTTATTGTGGTAAAATACACATATCAAAATCTACCATCTTAGTCATTTTTAAGTGTACGGTTCAGTGGTATTAAATACATTCATAATGTTGTGCTACCATCATCACCATTCATCTGTAGAACTCTTCATCTTGTAACACTGAAATTCTGTACCCATTAAACAATAACTCCTCATTCCTCCCTTCCCTTCATTCCCTGGCAACCGCCATTCTACTTTTTATGCCTATGTTTTGGAATATATCTTTTAAAAACCTGTATTTTATGTAACACATAAAATACTGCCATATGGTTTGGGTTTCTTGTGAATTCCTTGAAAATAAAGTTCATACCGTCATACACCATTTGTTATATCCCTCATAATTTTGGACTTACCATATGAGTGCTAAGTAAATATTATTTGAATCAATATCTTAATATTCTTTATCAAGCTCTCTGATGATAATTTTAAAGTATATGATAATAATTTAAAGTATCACGTTAGTTAACGTAAAAAATGGTAAGTTTTCCAATTCTTAAGGATGCTCCAATTTCTGAAATTATTTACTGTATTTGATGTTTCTGAATTTTCATATATGTTCATCCTTTCTGTAATTATCATATATTTTCTTTTAATAATTTATGTCCCCTATTGAGTGCCTACTATGTGTCAAGCATCATGCTAAACTCTTTGGGAAATGTCTTTAATTCTCACAACAAGCCTACAAGGTAGATTTAAGTGTCCCTATCCTATGTGTTTGAAAGCCAGAGTTTAGAGAAGTTAAATAATTTGTCCAAAATCACACAGGTATTAGATGACAGAGTTGAATTTTAAACCAAGACTATGTTTCATTTTAATACTGGCATTCTTTGTACTATATGTCTTTGCTTGGTATTTTGTATGTATGAGTATGTGTGTTTTGTGTGTGTTTGTGTGTGTGTGTGAGAGAGAGAGAGAGAGAGAGGAGAGGGGAAGAATGTATGTGACAGTATGTGATTATCAAGGCTTGTATTCATTTTTTGGTTGATCTTTTTTGGTCACATCAGCAATTGTCTAAAGCCTAAATGGTTTGTAATAGTAACAGCTGACATTTATTGAGTATTTATAATATGCCAGACAGGATTTTTAAGTAGTTTACATGTATTAACTCATTGAGTCCTCACAGTATTCTTGAAAGATGAGTAGGAAGTTGATGGATAAAGAAGGCATGCATTTTAGGTAAATAGAATGGCATGATGAAAGCAATAGCACTGAGATGTTAGACAGTATATATAGGAAATAGAAGTGTCCAGTGTAACTATGGTGGGAGAGAATTATGAAAAGGATCAAATTATGGAGGAGCATCTTGAATGCTGTGCTAAAGAGTTAGGTCATTTGTTTACAGGCAGAGGAGAGTACGGGCTTTGGGGTGAGACATATGTGGGTTTGAATTTTGGCTCTTTTTGCTGATTAGTTGTTATTTTTGGCAAGTTATGTAATTTCCCTAAGTATTAATGATACCTATTTCGTAGGCGTTTAGTGATATGCCTCGTACATGTAAGCATTCTAAATGATATTATTATTCATGATAAAAGGAATGTGAGAAAAAGTTATTAGAATTCTTTTTAAGGATAGCATTATATATTTTTTGGAAGAAATACTTTGAGCAGTAAATGGATTCTTGGGGGTCCTCAACTCAAGAGATGAAAAGTAAATGATATAGGAGATACAAATGAGACAAATAGAAGACTGTTTTGTTTTGGACTAAGAGTCGGCATACAGGGAAAGACAAGGGTATGGGGCTCGGGAGGGAGAAAGGAGAGCGAGCCAGAAAGGTGGTTGGATTCTGCATGTCCACTGAGAAGTTTCCTTGATGTGCTCTGGTCTTCAGTAAAGTCAGGTAAGTTTATGAAATGCTTGGTGTAGGAAAAGTTCTTTTGGAAAGGGGATGGATTTGGCATCTGGAATGAAAAAGGCATCTCATATCATTGTAGGAGTTAGAAGAGGGAGGGGAGGAACCAAGAGAGTTTAAGCTGTGTAGAATTAACAGAAATCTGGGGGGCTAGCTTGAACTTCAACATGTCACAGAATTTTTGGTTCAAGCAAATTTTCTAAGTTATCAGAGAGATAGGGGGTGGTGTACCCAGCTTCTTAACTACAATGGTTATTATTATCCTAGGTTTTTGAACAACAAAATACCAGAATTCATTTAATTATTTTCAGTGATCATGTATTGAGAACATGCTAGCTAGGACATTGATCTTGCCCAGAAGGAGCATATGATAATCATAACTAAATACATGCTTTAGAAAAATAACTGATAGCAATGTAGAAGAACCATTGGAAGTCAGTTATCAGGCAAGATCTGATGACTCTGATATAGGGCAGTGGAAATGGAGAGGATTGACTTGAGATATTTTAAGGTAGACTCGATAGCATCTGACAAATGATTGGATTTGAGGTCATGAGAGAGAGAAGATAAAGAATACTTAAAGACTACTATCTTGGATTATAGGTAGTGTTAGTAACCAAATGTGATATACTAGAGGAAGCGTGGATTTTGCAGGGACATGTAGTGTTTGAAGTAGGCCGTTCAGAAGTAAACAGTCTGAATGAAGTAGGTGGTTTAGAATTGGTTGGCTAGTTAGTTTTAGTTTCAAAGAGGTAGCATTTGAGGCTAATGAATAAGGTCACACTGATGGAAAGTATAGGTGGAGAATATTCATCTTTAAGGATCTACTGATGAAGAAGAATCAGTGAATGAAATTGAGAAGGAGTAGGCAATATATAGGACAAAACCTATGATAGTATTTTATCATAGAGACTGAAGGAAAGAGATTTTCAGGAGAAAAGTTTGGACAAAGTGCCTAACGCTCAAAAGAGGTTAAGCAGGAAAAAAACTGATTAGAGGCTGTAGGATTTGTCAATGAGAAATTGCTGATGACTTTTGAGAGATCAGTGTCACTGGAGTGGTAAGGATAGAAAAGTAAAAGCAGTAAATTAACAGCAGCTCACCTGCATTTACTGAGTGTGGCTCTTTGTTATGCATGAAAGCCAAAGTGTATTCTATTTATTTATTTATTTGGCTGTATTGGGTCTTCATTGCGATGCACGGGGTTTCTCGAGTTGCGACGAGCAGGGACTACTCTTTGTTGTGGTGTGCGGGCTTCTCATTGCGGTGGCTTCTCTTGTTGTGGAGCACGGGCCCTAGGCGCACGGGCTTCAGTAGTTGCAGCATGCAGGCTCAGTAGCTGTGGTATGCAGACCCTATTGCACACGGGCTTCAGTAGTTGCAGTGCGTGGGCTCAGTAGTTAAGGCGCGTGAGCTCTAGGGCACGCGGGTTTCAGTAGTTGTGGCACGGCATTGTGGCTCGCGGGCTCTAGAGCACAGGCTCAGTAGTTGTGGCACATGGGCTTAGTTGCTCCGTGGCATGTGGGAACTTCCCAGACCAGGGATTGAACCTGTGTGCCCTGCATTAGCAGATGGATTCTTAACCACTGCGCCACCAGGGAATTCCCCAAAGCGTATTCTTTTAAAGATTTATTGGTTATGATATCAGGGTAGAGAAGAACTGCTTTTATAAAACATAAAAACACAGCCTATATAGGAAAATATTGATGTATTTGACCAAATAAAAATTTAAAAATCTGCATCACAAAAGACACCATAAAAAAGTTTAGAAACAAGACAGAGAGAAGATATTTGTATATGCTCTCTCATTCTCTTTTTCTCTCTCTCTGTATTGGTATGTGTACGTGTGTTTGTGTGTGTGTGTGTGTGTGTGTGTACATTGAAGATCTATCTGTCTGTTATCTCTTCATCTATATCTTGGACAAAGGATTAGTCTCCAAAATAATACGAAACTACAAAATAATATGAAAAACATGGACAATTCAAAAAAAAATGAGCCAAGGAAATGAACAGGTGCTTTTAAAGTAGAAACTTGAGTGGCCAAACATAAGAAAATGTTCACCACAGTAATAAAGGGAGTGCAAATTAAAATGAGATACTGTTTCTTAGTTGTCAAATTTGCAAAAATTTAAAAGCTTCATGATATCAAATTTTAGCAAGGTTGTGAAGAAACAGGAACTCAAACACTGCTAATGGGAGGCAACTTGGTACAACCTCTTCATGAATTTGAAAGTACTTAGAAAAATTGATAATACATAAACTTAGTATCTAGCAATTCTACCTTTAAGTATTTACCCCAGAGAAGTTCTCTGTATATGTGTGGAACACTTGTACAAGGATGTTTATTGTAAATTTGTTGAAATAAATTTGTTGAAAAAATATTGGAAACAAGTATGTGCTACTAGTGGATTAGATGAATAAGGTTATTCATTCATTCCAAAAGTATTTATAAGAGCCTGTTATGTGCCAGGCACTGGGGTTACTGCTGAAAGTATTGCAGGCACAGTACTTACACTCAAGGAGCTTACAGTCCAGTAGATGAGAGACATTAAACGAATAATTACAAAATTATTAATTTCATTATGATATTCATGATAAAACAGAAGTATAGGTTCTTATAAACAGAGACCAAATTAGAAAGGATGTGATTGGATCAAATAAGCAGAAAGTCCATTTCAAAATAGCTTAAAAGCAGTAAGGGTATTTATTATCATTCACAAGCGGAAGTCCTGACATAGGAATGGCTCTAGGTTGGTTAATCAGTGCGTCTGTGACATCATCAAGGACCCATGTCCTGTCCATCTTCCTACTCTGCTAATCTCAGCATATTGGTCTTATCTTCATCTACCTCTCCTATAGTAACAAGTGCCTATCTTAGTACCATGATAAGACATATGGCAGATATGGCAGAATCCAGTGGAAGAAGGACTTTTTCTTCTTTGTTTTCTTTATTGTGAATATGAATTTTTATTATTTTAATAATTTTATATTATTTAAAATCTTTA